CTCTATTTCGTCTTTCTTTCTGGGCTCGAAATGCGAGGAACACCAAAGCAATTTTGAAACTGAACATAAGAAAACGCAGTCCTTTCAATAATTAATTTATCTAACTGCCCTCTAAATTAAATATCTGTTTCTATCTGTTTCTTACATAACTTGAATAGGGGTCGCGAGATTTCATCTTTTGCTCGGAAAAGGGTAAAAAAAAATGTCATTCATGAATAATGAGTAGTTCTTAGCTGAAATTAAGACTTTCAGTGTGAAGTATTGTGTTTCATGTTTTGTATTAAGTTTTATTACATAGCAGAGTTCGCAGTGCGCGCAGCAAGGCCCATATTTATTAAAAATGGTCTAATAAACATGACAAAGCATTGTTTTTGAGCAGGCTAGCCTTCTCCCTTGTCATCATAGTCAAAGACTCGCACGAAAATGATGAGCATTTATTTCAAGATATCACCATCTCTGTTTATCTGACTTGACTGACTTGAAATATTTCTTGAAGAGAAAATTTCTGAGTTTTACTCAAGACCATTGAAAATTTAGAAATACTCGCTGGCGGCTCTTGTTTCTGAGCTCCTTTTGTTTTCTCGAATTCATGGGCTGAGTTCATCATTTCGCTGCAGCCGGATTTAAAACTAGCGAGAGTGTGTGTTTGCCCTAAATTGGCTAGTAAAATGTTCCAAAGCACCGCTTCATTATAGCTGAAGTTTGTTTTCGACTGTTAGTGCGGGGGAGTGGAACAGCTAATTTGCCCTAAGAATCCCTTAAAAAATAGTTAGATATTTCACTCCGATCAATAAACATTAATTTCAGATAATCAGGGGCAATAGCGTTCAGTAATTTATGGTCCATAGTTTCTTTTAGAATTTTCGTCAAAGATCAAGTTTTTCCCAGCCCCAAGTCTTACAAAAAGATCATCAACGTTGGCATCGTAGGAAGAAGAGGTCAGAATACGCGCAGTGCGTTTCTGTAGTTTTTTGTAATTTAGTTGCGAGAGATTTATTGCAATTCCCCTATAAGAACTTGAATGAGGTTGAGCTAAAGCATGATAGATGCATAGGAGCGTTTCAAATGGGACAAAGGACCTACTTCGCCTAGAGATGCCAATGCCAGAGGCAACTTCTTTTTAGATCTTTCGTTATCAGTATCAATTCCAAGGTAAATGTTTATCTGTATATACACCAAGAAATCTTGTAAATTAAACTTGCTTTATAGATTGCTGTCAATAGTAAGACACAGGGGTCCATTAAAAGAACCCAATTTTCGCCCTGAAACTATCAACATGAACTCAGTCTTTGACTTATTAAGAGAGATGAATAAGGGGGTAAGTTTCTAAAGAAACTGTGGTGCTGCGTCGGAGAGTATTGCAGGTAATTTAGTGTTGACAACTGAGTTGAAAACGTAAACTGACCACCGTAAAGAGTCAAAAGGTTACGTTTCGAGCGTTAGCCCTTCGTCGATCGCTCTGACAGTAAATTCGTTTCTATTTCATGTAGCTTTGTTGTTATTGTTGTTGTTGTTATATTTGTACCGAGATATTTGTATTACCGGTATTTATTTGTTTTTTTCAGTCGAATCACGTCCAACTGCACGTCTACCCGGCAAATAGTTTCAATATTCATTCATTATCCGACGTTAAACGTGTAGTATTTATCTACAGGTGCGAATTTTTGAAAAACCACAAAGCAAAGTATAGAACGATGAAACCAATCCCGAACTACTTTCAACCCCGAATTAAAATTTGCCACACTTTCGGGATACAGTCTCTTAGCTTCAACTTCTCCTGGAAAGGGCATAATTTCATGTTAATGGCAGGAATAGAGATTACTCTGATTTATTGACCATAAGAACGCAGCCG